CATTCAACCCTGCTTGCGTTCACCCCCGATGCTTGGTCGTATGCATTGACGAAGTGGCCCCTCCTCAATTCCGGTAGTATCGGAGTGCTCGAGCTGCTTGAGCGTTCACAGCCGACAGGACTTTCTCCGAAGAGTAGGTTGTGAAGCGATGATCGCGATGGAGTACTCCAGCTACCCCCCTCTGGTTGAGATGGCGCACCCCCCTCCTCCCGGAAGATCGTCTCCAACAGCTCCGTCTCACTGATGCCATAGTCCCTCGGATCCCCTCCTCGGCCCGTCCTACGGTTACCATCATCACCACCCCCACACTCTTTCATGTGGGAGCGGATGAGCTCAGGCAAGAAGAGCTTAGCACAGAATCCACACCGCTCTTTGAGCTCATTCAGCTCAGCACGATACTCACATTCCAGAGTCTGATAGCTTGTTATAACTATGTCGTACTCCATCAGCTCCGGCGCGGTCACTTTATGCTTACCGTGATATAAGTAGACCTTCAGCACCCCCACGCCAAAATACTTCACAATTTCCGACTCCCACTGTCTCATCGTTGCCGCTGGGCAAACTACGAGGGTCGGGGCACGGGTCTCAGCTCGCTGTAGGCACACCAACGCAAGGAACTGGATGGTCTTACCCATCCCCATCTCGTCGGCGAGGATACCTCCTCGGCGACTACACGAGAGCTCCTGATTACAGAGCCACGCTGCACCCTCACGCTGGTAGGGGAGGAGCTCAACAAGCAACTGAATAGGACGATTCGTGACTAAGTGGTGAGAATTATATTCACCTCAGGTGGTGGAGGGAACTTCTCGAGAAGGATCCGTGGTACAGAGCTGAAGGCCTCATTGACCTCCCTCTTGACTGACTCCTCTCTATCGGTAGCGACTCCGACAACGTCCACTTGTTCTTCAAGGAAACGTGACAACATGGAAAAGCTTATTATACCAAGTATATAACTGATGATATAACGCGATGATGTTAACTGCAAAGATTTTTCAGGAGACGGTCAACATCACAGTTCCAGAGCTACTGTCGCAGTTACTGTCACCGGCGGAAGACGGCGGGGTAAAGTTGAGCATAGCAGGAGCTCCACTAACAAGATCCCCAACTTGGAAGCACTTACCCGTAGTGTTTCGATTTAAGTTGCCCTATATTTCTTCCCGAACACTGCTCACTTTTCAACTAACCTCGAGCCTTGCAACTCCCACAATCACGAACGACTCGCTGCTGCCGCTGTTGCAGGGCTCGCAAAGAGCCCTTGAAATGATCGCCCAGTCAACACCCAGCTGGTATTCATAGTAGGCATCACTAAACACGAGGCGGATGGCTTTTCAGCACAACAGCTATTGAGAGTTACCATGCAAACATAAGGACACTCTAGGGAGATCCTGATAACTGCACACCTATGTATGATATACGCGGCTAACAGTCTGTGGCGAACAACTCGACAGCACCAATTACACACGATTCAGAAACGGCTACGCTCAGGCGTCGAAGCCCACCGAGCAGGTTGATAACTCACAATATACCTCAAAAACTAATTCACATTGTGAACAGCGCAGACAGTCAAACCTTGAACAGGAACTTCAAGTCCTGCAGACTAAGCTGCTGCAGATGATAACTAGCATTCTCATCACCACCCACAGTGGTATCCGCGGCAAGCTGCTTCTTACGCTGAATACATTGTGAGAAGACTCACGTCATTCACTAGTAACTCGTGAGACCACAAAAATTCTAGACGATATATTAAGATCTGAAAGTAAGTCAGCCTGACTCTTGAGATGACCTGACTTAGTCAGGTCATCTCAAGACGTCTGAACAAATGGCGTTGTCACAAGATCCATTCCACGAGCTTACGATAACTATGTGAATACTGCGTAGTTGAGACCCAACTGTTTTGCATTTGTGTATTAGAATGACACCGTAATACTCAACCTAGTGCCTCAGGATTGATACCCAAATACAATGTTGAAATTGTGGCTCTACATATACTAGCTCATACTGTTAACAGTATTGGTAGAGCCACATGATAAACAACATCCCATTAAATTTCCACCAGATGAGCACGAGATTGCCATACGAGCGAGCGGCCAATTCTTATAGACCTCCCGAGCTTTCGATACTAATCAATAAGGCAAATCACGAATTGATACCGAATGGGGCTTGACAATGTGCATCCTCATCCAGTAGCAGTTCACCTCAATATCAATTGACATAGAATGCGTTCCATCGTATCAGCATCCTCGCCAAGAAGAGGCTGTGCCAGAGAATACAGCTTAGTATGTTTACATATTCCTCCCACACGAACGAGACAATAGTATCGAAATTATGTGAACCGAATTCAGGATATATTCACACCAATCTTCACCCGACATCACCGGACGTCGAAAATATACACACCTTCGGTCAATACCTACCTGCAATGTACGAATCCTTTCCTCTATCGTATTAGTAACGACAAACTTCACAACATCTACCCTACGAGTCTGCCCAAGGCGGTGTGCACGTTGCACCGCTTGGAGCTCGGCTGCTGGGTTCCACCATGGATCTGTTGGATATAGGAATAGGAAAGCAACGAATAATAGCATTCGTGTGAGCTATCAAGTCCACGTTTCTCAAAGTGTCACGAATGCAAAACACCAAACATACCAATCAGTGACGAATATTGTGATGAACGGGCATACCATTGGTATGATACCAATTACCGATGTGCACCGTCAAATTACGCGTAGCTCAGTGAGCCATGTATGAGAGCAGTCACTATGTGCAGTATGATGGGCTAAGTTCATATTACAAGTCTTGTGAACCAAAATTCTTGATCACGTTATCAAGAACTACGTTCTAGGGTAGTAAGGCGATCAGAGGATTATATACCTATGGTCTTAGCTTCTCAGATGATACACCTATGATCCTAGCTACTAAAGTGGTATACCCATGGTCCTAGCTACTAGGATGGCATGCCTATGGTCCTACTATATATACAAGAGTATATGCCCAGTATGGAAGAAGTCACTCACCGATCACGAAGGCCTTGTTCGCGGCCTGCAAGTTGATTCCCTCTCCAGCTGCGCGTAAAGATATCAACAATATATTGAAAGAGGCCTCCTGCACCAGGAAAGGATCCCACAACTCCACGAATGTTCAATAGAACATCCCCTACCGATTGGAAGTAGCTGACCATCCTACTGCGAATAGCCACATTGAGACCTCCATGAATAATCTAATGATGGTGAACGAGAGACCGCTGCTGTCCACAAGAGGCATTGCTCACCCCACACGAGCCCAACCCACGGCGCTCGATCTCTTCCTTTGTTATCTCTAACAAGGACGTGAACTGGAAGAAAATCAAACTGAAAGGGCACGAGGTCTGCCAGGTGTGCCTAGTTAGATCGCTTTGAGCGATTTGCTTACAACTTATTGGTCGCATCCTCATTCAGCATAGACTGGACGGTATCCAACACGACCTTCACCTTACCAGACTCCAACACTTCTCTCGATGGGATTCTTCCCATGATGGTGTTCTTCCGAACAAGTCGTGGCGACTCGAGAAAAGTGTCCACACTGTTGGAGTCGCTGAGAGAGCTCTCGGTGACCAAACGTGAAATCGCGACCTGACAAGAGACGGAAAGTTACACTATGACTACGCCAGATTTGAGGGACTGCGTACAGCTGCTGCATTCATAAGTCATTGCTGAATTATTATTTAGCAGTAATTTCTACGCAACTGTGGTTTTGCCTAAATCGCAGATGAACATTCTTCCAACTACTGTTCCCAATGTGAGAGCTGCTCGCATTCTTTAGGATAAAACTTGTGCGGAATTCGCGAGAGTTATAAAGGGACATTCCAATGACCATTGGCTCAGTGATCCGATGGTGAGAAGATACACTTACCGTGCCCAAGGTCATCTCAACTTCCTGTAGACATGCTGGGCATTCCACGGTGTCAGCAGCAGCGCGATCTCCCACCGACTGACGTATACACTCACTGAAATGGGAATAACAACCAAATCCATGCACGCGTCTAAGCTCGAGAAGTTACCTCAATGTTTCATGACGTACAACAGTCTAGGTAACTCCGATCGTTCCGACTTACTTATGGAAATGATCTCCACAACTTCCCCTCGCCATGGCTTCTCCCTCTGCCAGAGGCCTCTGCGATATTTCATCGTGACAGATCATCTAACACAAAGATCTACTAATACAAGTATTCGAAGGCTCAAAATGATGTCCGAAGAATAGTGAGTTTAAGGATGTTCTAATAGGGCATTGGCACGATCAGCACATTCTTAGAGTGAAAACTTCACAAAGTGGTTAGCAATAGGATAACTGCGTGACCGCCGCAACATACCGAAAGTACGCGGGAAGGGGCTATCTCCAGTCGCTATCAATTCCACGGAGTAACTCCTATAGTAAATATCCTCCTAGCCGAGTAACTCACGGACTTACACACTCTCGATGGCCCTGTTTGTTCTCACTGTACTTTATAAGTAGTCCACTGTTGCAAGCCTACAGCAAGAAAAGATGAACACCCACGAAATCGTCTTGCAATGCCTTCAACTCACCACCCTATCGCGGTGATAAATCGGGTTAGATCACTACTCAGGTAACAACAGTTACTGCGAGTTCCCCTTCAGTTCGCATCTCCCTTACTTGTCTGAGCCTCATTAGAAGAACCAGTAGCTCCGAGACTCTCGCCTCGAGCATTCCCTCCTCAGCTAGCTGCTCCACTTTATCCTGATACTCTTGAGCAAGGCGATCATAGAACGCCTGCTCCGCTGGCTCAAGCCAGACGTAGCGAGTTTCCATAACGAGCGGGGGCAAGTGGACATCCTGCTCACGCTCGGCCTTAGTTCGACGCAGCAAAATATTCCCGAAGATTTTACGCAGCAACTGGAGACTCTGGCGACCTTCGGTAGAGCTGGCACTTCTGAAAGATGGCTCAAGAGCTACTCTATACAAAGGCAGCATCAGTAACTCACTTCATCGTGATAGGCCTAGTAATGTACCTCCTGAAGTACGACCAATGACTCCGTCGTGAGTGATGGCATCTTATACAGCGTGTTCGAGCGTCGAACGGACCAAAGTTCAGAGCCTTGCAATCGCATTGAGAACAGAAGTAATGCGAGAAAGGGTCGAGTTTTAGGAACCTACCAGTACGTAATATCCTGACGAGGTCGTAAGCTACAAAATGTTATATCAACATGGACCCCACTCACAGAGCTAGCATAGCATCACAGGTCTCCTATTGAATGATTCTTCACAACGCCCTAGTGCAACGCTCTCACCTGACCAGGGCATACAAGTCCCCTACACGATTCTGGAATGGTGTTCCACTAACAGCCCAGCGAAAGGTAGCATGCAGATTGTATCTGCACATCAAAAACATCAAGAACTGGGAGCCCCAAGGGCACATGGATACGGACATCGCTTTCGCCGTACTATTGGTACGGCCTTTTATTCTGTGGGCCTCATCCAGAATAATGCGGCCCCATTGAACACTATGCAACCCGTTGCCTTCCTTCAATGCTCTCCGCTGCTGCCCTAACAGTCAAGGTAAACACAGTGTAGGACATTTCCCAATTGCTATTCGCCAATCGATAGACTCAGACCGGACGACCTACCCAGCACACGCCGTGCCGAGGGGGGTGTACTCCGACGCTTGATGATCGTCTTCTTCACACACGGGCTCAGCTCCATCCTACACTCACTGCTCACCATGGTACTCCTACTGCTACCCCCTTCTAACTTCACCATCGATCTACGCTCTGGTGTCCTGTACTGGTGAGAGTCCATCTCCCTCTTCACCGTTTCCCGACACTTCACTGCTATCTTCTCGTTCTTCTTCCTCTGATACTCTCTTATACAGCTACTATGGTGAGCCGGCAAGGAGCTGAGCTTGAAGCTCCTCTTGCAATACTGGCATACCACCCTTTCGAAAATTGCAGTGAGAGACCGATACTGAGTCTCCAATGTGTTGTACGAGGTGATGACCACGTCGTATTGCTCCAGCTCGGCCTTCACCGCTTTCTTCGTACCAAGGTACACGTGAACCTTCAACAGCCCAGGCGGGGACACACTCCGTCGTATTTCTTCAACCCATACCACCACAGCTGCCAGGGGGCACACCACCAAGGTCGGCCCCTGCACTTGTGGGCGCCGTTTTATTATGAGGGAGATCATCTGCAGGGTCTTCCCCATGCCCATCTCATCGGCAAGGACCCCACCCCTACAGTCGGCCTCCTCCTCCTGATTGCACATCCAGGCCAGGCCCTCGTGTTGGTAGGGTAGGAGACGAGTCACCAACTGAGAGAAAGCCCCACATTGAAATACAGATCTTTGCTAGTCGTCCCTAGCTTTCCGCTTCGTCGGATCGACGATACACTGACGACGTTCATGATACTGTATATCGGGCCTCTGCTTGTCTTTCGTGAGTCAACGAAAGTTTCGCCAGTCCGTTGTGGACTGCAATGGGCTAACATATTGTTATCTATTATGCACCTGTTGTGGTCAACATTGAGCCTTGTCTTATCTATAATGAGCCTCTTATCGTCTATGAGTACTCTGATATGGTCTAAAATAAGCCTTACGCTGTCTATAGTTGCTCTACTATGGCCTACAATCAGCCCTCTGTTGTCTATACTCATCCTACTATGGCCTACTACGAATCCACAATTGTCTATAGTTACTCTAATATGGTCTACAATTAGCCATTTGCTGTCTATAGTTGCTCTAATATAGTCTACAATAAGGCCTTTGTTGTCTATAGTAACTCTAATATGGTCTACAATTAGCCATTTGCTGTCTATAGTTGCTCTAATATAGTCTACAATAAGGCCTTTGTTGTCTATAGTAACTCTAATATGGTCTACAATTAGCCATTTGCTGTCTATAGTTGCTCTAATATAGTCTACAATAAGGCCTTTGTTGTCTATAGTTACTCTAATATGGTCTACAATTAGCCATTTGCTGTCTATAGTTGCTCTAATATAGTCTACAATAAGGCCTTTGTTGTCTATAGTAACTCTAATAGGGATTACAAAAGCCCTCCGCTGTCTATAGTTTCTCTTATATGGTCTACAAAAAGCCCTCCGCTGTCTATATTTTCTCTAATATGGTCTACAAAAAGTCCTTTTATTGTCTACAGTTACTCCAATATGGTCCACAATAAGCCCTTCGCTGTCTAAAGGTTACTCTAATAAGGTATACAATAATCCCTTTGTTGTCTATGGTTGCTCTACTATCTCTACAATGAGCCCTTTGCTGTCTATAATTACTCTACTGTGGCCTATGATAGACCCTTTGTTGTCTGTAGTTCTCTAATATAATCTAAAATTCGCTCTTCGTTCTCTATTATTACTCTTATATAGTCTACAGTACGCCCACTGTCGTCTACGAATACTTCAACGTGGTCTAGATTATGCCCTTCGTTGTCTATAATGTAATGCTCTACAGCGAGCCTCTCTCCATACACTACAATTCCATGTAATTTGACGTTGACCATTGTCAACTCAGAATTAGCCTAACTATGCCTATCAAGCCATTGTTAGCGACGAGTCCACCACCGGATACACCCCAATCATCCTCCTCCCTCATCCCATCCAGCTCACCTCCCTCGGTGGGTCGAACCTACCAACAAGGTCCCTTGATACCACTCTGGAGTTGTCCGGCAGCCTTAATTCCAAGTTCATCGTCTCCATCTTCTCGATCTCCTCTATGAAGCTCCTCTCAGTTACTTCGGATGCCACAGACTCTATATCAGAGTCTTCGCTCGCTGTTTGCGGAGGCATCAATGCAAAATTCGATGAAAAACCAAGTCAGGGCTGCTCCAGTCTCAATCGCTTACCGCGGTGCGAGTCTTGTTCGTGCAACGAGCAGCTAAGGTTAGTCGGAAACTGGCAAACAATCCTCAATAATGCACACATCCCCGTATCAATTTCAAACCTCCTTCTCAGTCGTATAACAAATTAACACGACAACTCAAAAACTACAAGCATGAAAGATTAATGGCCATGCGATGCTCGGTGAACAACAATATATCAACTTTGCTCATCTCTTTAGAGCTCCTCTGGTCATTAGCGGGCTTCGCTGGACTCGGAGAGTCCTTCTAGCGGGAACCCTGACAGATATGAAAATATGAGTTGAAGCACTCACTGGGCTCGACAACATCCATCGCTATGAGTTGATTACGATACGACGATGTTACGAAGTAAACGCTACCTTTACGAAGATCACCATAGGGAAGCATAAGTCCGCACGATATTCGCAAACCACATTAATGATTCGTTGCAGCTACGCGGAATGCAATGAACGACACAAAAAGAGTACCTTATGGCTTATAGGAAAATACAATGTCCTCGTCGAGGATCTGATCTAAGAAGATTTGCCATCGTGGAAATCAGATCCAAGACTGCGACAAGGTTATCGCTTATGGAGAAAGCAATGAGATCAGGTGAACTGGAAGGTCTCGACTAAGACACATAGCAAATTTTTGAAGGCCCCAGATCAGTCTTGGGCTTAGTCTTTTAGAAAAGTGTTGGCGCAAGGTAGATCACTTGTTGTTCCGGTGTTGCAGACGCTGAATGCTCGCGTGAGACTAACAGTCATGACATCATCAGATCACTGTACTGATGTCACAGAGGGTTTCTAACTGTGTCGGTTGATTATTATGTTAAGTGAAGCTGCGAGCCTCGACAGTGTCGAGTC